TACTGTGATTTGCGTTCTTGGGACACCGCCTATTTCTCGTAACTCAAATATTTCACGCCCTTCCAGTAATCAATATATATTCTCGGAAGACAATGTTGTCATCATAGAGCAGCAAAATATGTTGACTTAATTATTTTGGTCAAATCACTCAGAAGAAATACGTGAACCGAAAATTTCAAACAGGAAGTTTTGAATGAAACAAAATTATCTAAGTTTACCAGTAACGGAAATGAACAAAATCGGGAAATCATAAATCTCTAAAAATAAAATAAATAGGGGCGGGACGATTTCAGAGGGGCGGGTGGGGATGAAAATCTATCAATTAATTTTAATTGGCCTAAGTTTGCCTCAACCAAATGTTATGAAACATATACAAAATGCTTATTACCACAAATCTCAGATCAAGTACGAATTTGGGTAGCGTCACTTTTCCCATTCTTGAGTTTATGTCCCTTTATAACATTTTATGCAAGATGGGGCATCATCTGTGTCCCATGGACACATTCCCCATTTATTTGTCTTTAAACCACAAATATTAATCTTTCTAAAAGTTTGCAGTATGAGAAAAGATATAGAGATACTTTGAAATAAGACCACTGGTAAAGTAGTCATGTCAAAATTGCATCAATGAAGGGTAAGAGGTAAGTTGTTATCTCCCAATTGCATAAGTCTGAACTGCATTGGATAAGTTCTAGATATTACTCTATAGCATTTGGGTTAATAGTGCTGTTTGTTGACCTCTAGATGTTTTATTATTGTTGCTGAGTGCTGTGTCTTTACATACAGACATCATAGTCCCCACATGTACTTTTCATTCTTACCTTGTGGTAGTCAGAACTCATATCAATCTTGTGTTTTTGTATGACACATGGATTGAAAGATAAATTAATGCACAATTATGATGGAATTAAATGTACCAAATTAGGATATATTTGTACATGAGCTTGCATTAGGTCACCTTTTTAGACTACATTGTATTGTTGTTTAAGGTAAAAACATTTTCTATAATTAGTTGAAATATGTAACAGTGTAATCATAAAAATAATTCATCTGAAGATAAAACAGGCTTTATTTTCCTCAGTACAAAGTAAACATTGTAAGGTTAAATTATCATAAAATCTACTTTACAAGGATGTTTACCTGTGCCAGTGTGGTACACCTTCATAACATCACAGTTTTACATCAGAAAATTACACTTCTGATCAATCTTATTGATTAATTATTATGAGGGAAATGAACTTTAATTCACCTCATCTTACATGGTATAACCTCAGTAAATAAGCAAGGAATCAGGTGAATATTGGTCTGTAATGAGGGGCAGAAGGACATTTTTTGGGAAGTCTGGATTTAGCCGTTTAGTTCACTAATTCACAGGAATTCGGGAAAAGCCAGTAAAATCTTTGGGAATTCGAGAATGGACACATTATTTTAACAGGAATTCATGATTTGGCATTTATTTTCTCTGGAATTCGGGATGAGACCCCCTCTCCAGTAATGCTTGAAAAACATCTTCTGTTGCAGGCTTAGGAAGAGTTCCATATGGCACCTTAACAGCATAAACTGTAAGGTGTTGTGATTTTTTCATCGGGTGGAGGTGTCGTATGGAACTCTTGCCCAGTATAACAGTTTAGTGTGATATTGTACCTCATCGTATCTATCAGCGAGTCTGTCCTGCCTCAGATAAAAGAAACTACCAGAACATATATTGAAAAAAAACACCAAAAAATGATCTCTGTTTCTGGGTTTAACAGTTACTATGGTACAAAAATCACGCTTTGTCTATGAAATTAATTGCACATATGAACTTCTTAAAACAAGTTTCAAATTGAAGCTTTACTTCTAATTCATAGTTGAATTTGTAGGCTTCTTTTCTCTTAAGGTCTCTTAAGGCATTCATAGGTTAAAATTTCCAAGTCTGGATAAAATTAATATGACCTGAAAATCTAACTACTTTAAACGATCAGTATACATGTATAAATAATTTAGAAAGACACTATTACATTCATTATTTAGTCTGTGGTTTCTTTTTTTTTCTTGTCACCCACTTTCAATTTTCCTTGCTTAGTCATATGAAATCATGAGTGAGGGTGTTGTTTCAAAGTACTTTCTCGGTGTTTAGTGCCATTGGCAATAAAAAATGGCTTTGGAAAAAAATGATTTAAAGTACTGCTGAATGTGACAGTGGATGATGCGCAAGTTTTATAAAACTAATCGAATACTTATAAAAGTACAAATGACCTACATAGAAGTTAGAAATACTTTGTTCATATTGTTATTCTCTTGATATTTTTTACAAGTTTTGCAAACTGAGAGTATCAAATGTCAGATTTTTAAATGTTTTTCATTAGTAAAAGTTGTTTGCTCTACAGACCTTAAAGTATCTATACTCAGATACTCAAAGGTTTAAGAAAAGAGGAAAATTAAGGTCATGTAAATATAGTAAAGAAATTAGCAATACTTTTTACATACATGACATATAGTTATTTTTGTTAGCATTTTCACAAGTTTCGCAGAGTATCAAATGTCAGGATTATGTTAGATTTCAGTTAGTTAAAGTTGTATGTCCTCATTAGTTGTAATACCACCAAAATATATTACATCATATCTTGTTTCATGTCAAAAAGGGTAAACAAAAATATTCCCTTGAATTTGACAGTTGTAGGACATTAAAAGAAAAACAAAGGATATGGGGTATCCATCCATGACTCAAATTCAGTACCTGCACAGCAAAAACACGCAAAAAGCAAAAGAACAGCGCTTTAATTGCTGTTCTTCATCTCAAAGTCACAGTGGGCTGGCGTTTTCATTGCAACTCTATGTTTATTGTATCTATAGGAATCTTGGTATATTGTTAGATCCTACTATAAAGATGTGGATGTGGGGAGGATATTCAAATGCATTGATTTTTCCCAAAGACATGTCTATATGAGCTATATCTACATGGAAGTTGGTACATTATTAGATCCAATTATGCAGAACAATATAAGCCCTTTCCAGCTCCTACTTTGTCATCACAACTTCTCAAAGATGGTTCATAAAACAATATGAAACTTTGTATAAATTTATTGTTAGATCCTGATATGCAAATATGCATGTAAGTAGGTTGAACATGCATCAGAGACAACATCAAATAGAAAAAAAGTCAAATGTATATTATTGACTTTTTTCATTCTCTGTTTTTCAGTCACTAGCATTCTTAAATATCAATCCTGGATGCTGGGGGTATTAGTTCAATGTAGCAGACAATAGAATATTCTAGTTTGTTTGTCTCACCTTGACTAGTCAAACTTAGCGAGACTTAGGTATGCTGTATCCAAAGGCGTTGGTGGCATACAGGCATCAACAATGTATTAGTTTGTGATTTGGTCAGTTTCTGGGGAATCACTAGTGGTAGGTCAATGATATTTGGTATGCAGTTGTATTAGCATTGGCACATCTCATTTCCATGGAGATTACTTGGCCCTGCCCCCTCAGTCATGGTCAATTGACTTTAAAAAAATCTTCCTTACTTTACATGTATTAGTTTGTGATTAGGTCAGTTTATGGGGAACCACCAGAAGTAAGTCAATGATATTTGGTTTGTAGATGCATTTACATTGGCACATCGCATTCCCATGGAGATTAATTGGCTCCGCCCCCTCAGTCATGGTCTATTGACTTTGAATGTTTTGCATAGATTACATGTTAAAGTTTAAAAATCAATGATATTCCCTATTCACTATTCAGGTTTATTAGCATTTTCAAGTCTGTTTTCCATGGAGATTTTTGGCCTAATCCCCTTTTCATATTTCATTGACTTTGAAACTTTTACATTGTTTACAAATTAGTTTGTGTTTTGGTTAGTGTTAAGGTCTCCCGACTTATGATAAGTCAGTGGTATAATTTGGTATGCAGTTTTATAAGCACTCACAATTCTCATTTCTATAGAGGTTATTTGGTCCTGCACATTAAGTCATGGTTCATTGACTTTGAATGTTATGCATAGTTTACATGTTTAAATAATGCCGTTTGGATTCAATATTTGCATTATACTATCAAATTACAAAAAGGTGAGACATATCTCTGTGTCAACAGTTTATTTAATCATATATATTTTTAGAAAGTCTTTTTCTTCTTTTTACCTGAGAATGTTTTAAGGTTTGGACTTGTGATTGTCTATTGTATAAAAAGGTTGGTTGATTCTTCTGATTCAGAAATTGTTTTCTTGCATCTCCATTTTATTACTTGTTATTGCATAGGCCAGGGTCATTTAGTGAAGTGTAGATTTTTCTTGTTCTTTTTTTCTGCTTGTTCGTTAGGTTTCTTTTTCTTTCAATTTTTTGTCATTTGTGTAACTCACAGTCTCTTGCTTTAAATACATTAAAATGTTGTGATGAAGAATAACTATTTACAGTTTCATAGTATCCCTTTCAGTATATACATTATCATATATGACTTCAGGACATTCATAAACTGGACCACCCAATGAAATAGGGTGAACAGTAAATGAAAAATTAGCAAGATCACTGTTCATGAAGTTTTCAAAAATATAGGACTAACTTTTATCATAAATCATAAATTAAATGAAACATTATTTACATTTCAACCAAACTTAGCCATAGCATGTTTTATAGACATTTCATGATTTATATGTAATAAAATATCTACGGTGAATAAAAAAAATGTTAGTCTATGAATCTTAAATAGAACATTTTTAAATGAATGTCAAATTTTGAGAAAAATTCCCATCTTGAGCCTCTTGTCTAAATCCAATGTCAGTGCACTTAAAAGTAAGGATGGTGTGAGGTTCTCCATGTAGGTGGTTTATGTTAACCAATCAAACATAGTTTTATATGAACATTTATAGTAGTCTTGACCTAACGGCTAAGTAAATAAACACTAATTAAAAAGGCGGTCCTTGTCCATTCACTCACCTGGTATGTCACTACCCATTAAAAGTCAACAATTTTATTAATCAGGAAATGCATACATGAATGTCTTGAGGTTAGCACTTGAAAGGTGTATGATTTTGTTGACATGCGATAGGTTTATACAACAGTGCATATATTTATTAAGGAGAATAATATCAACCTTCCTTCAAGATTTGATCAGTTCACTGATGAAATATAGTGTGAATTGAGTTAAATGATCAGTTCATGAGAGGATTCATTTTATAGTTTTATAATTTTAAATTATTTAGTTTATATCCACTAAATCTTTATAGAAAGAGAATAGGTTGTCAAATTATCAAAGTGATCGGAAGTGATTGTCAATGTGATTTATTGTTGGTTTACATATTCTTTTACTGAATTATGATTACGCAACTTGCACTGGAATTTCTCACTTTTGCATTTGACAGCCAAAAAAAAAAATGAAACTGTGAATTTATTAAGTTAAGGAGGAATTATTAATTATATAAATCCTAGAGATTTCTGAGATTATATAAAATATAACAAAGCGAAAAAATCTTTCAATTGAGGAATTATTCAATTGATTAATTATACAAAAGAAAAAATGGAATTGTGTCTATAGAAAGATATAAAGATATTCCGAAGTCAGTGTCTTGTACTTCATTATAGGCAATAGTGGATTATATCGACAGTAATTTACATGAACACAACTGCACTGGAAGAACCAAATGACTGATTAAGTGCAGGAACAGGGATTTTTATCCTGGAGCAAAAAATATTCAATATATTCTGTTTGATTTTAAGTCTTTGTTGTTTTTCTATGTAACCGATAACGTTGATTGAAGTGGTATTAAAACACAAGGAGCTTCGTTTCCGATTTTTCTTGAGTGTTTAAAGCAAATAAGACTGAAAAACCCTGTTAATGGTATCCTATGGGATATAAGCTTTCTTGAAGGAATAACACTCATTGGATATGATTTTAATGTCATCAGGAGTTAACATCCCAGTTGTTGGCCTCTGAGATTTTCAATATCCTCTTCTGGGCCTCGGGATTATCGAGTTTATATAACTTCACCCTTTTGGTTGAGTGCAGCAAATTTTGCAAAATTGAGTAAAAAAATCTAATCACTAGACTATAAAAGAAATGTGTGTTGACAATTGCTTGTAAGAACTCATTGGATGGAGGTGTTTTGAGCAGGCTCAGCGACCACTAATCCGGAAAATTTTAAATTACATTCATTCTTTATTATAGATATGTACTAAATTAATTTGTAGTTCATAGAGGTTTTTATTGATTTGGTTGTGGAGAAATTGAAAAACGATTGCATTTCGTGTAAATAAAACATTAATTTGGATGTTTGATAGAAGCAAAAGTGCTGATTTGATTGAAAATTGAATTACAAGTGAAATATTTGACCAAATTCAGTTTTAAGGGGATAAGTTTGTGTATAATACAGTTGTACTGCAACTAAAAGGAAAATAACAATCAAGACTTTCACAAGTTAACACTAACAGTTTGTGAGATAGCAAATTTTAAAGGGCATGGATTTTTGTTTATTATATCCTTTTGGAGACAAATAAGATAACATTTATTATGTAAAAATAATTCAGTGAGAAAGGATGTTTTGATAATTGAAAACAAATCTGGATAACTTCATGAACATTGTATATCTAATGTTAATGATAAACAAAGTTTGGATATGGAAGGAAATGGACCAGTCATCAGTAGTTCAGATGTAAAGTCAGATTTATCAAGGTATTGTAGAATTATTACAGTTTCAATTGCTCTGAGCATTACAAATATTGAAATGTATTCTTTAGAATGAAATAAAACAAAAATAGCATTGAATGAACATTGCATCAATATGGTTGTAGATTTTATCAATATTAAACCAGGAACTACCAGTAAAGTGGAAAATATTGCACTTCAAATTGTTCTCCAAGAAAAAAAAACAATAAAAAGATTTAAAAAATAAAATGCTCTGTATTTTTTTTAATATAAAAAAAAAACATCAGGAAAAAGAGAGAAATAAGTTAGCACTTATATTTTGTAGAAAACTTTTTTTTATAAAAATTGATGAAGAATTGATCTTGTAATTTTAGATGCAATTATCTGCAAACATTTTATAGAAAACAGTAAGAAGTATCTTATCAACATTTGATAGTAGATATATCTTAATACAGATGGTTTATACATATACAGTATACACGTTTTCTTGTTTGAATTGTTTCACATTTTGTCAAATCATTGTTAAAGGCAGATCATTGTAGTTGTTTACCTTCTCTGGTGGATAGTTGTCATCATACCACATCTACTTATTTTTATAAACAATTTCTTTTTGATTTGTGTACTAATTTTACAAAATATCTACAGTGAAAAATGGTTCAGGTACATGTATTATTGGTATATTTGGAATTGGCATTGAAATTACATTTTTTTTTTAAATTTCATTTTTTTAAGTCTACATTCACACCATGTTGCCATTATAAATGATACGGCAACATGGTGTGAATGTAGACTTAAAAAATGTAATTTCAATGCCAATTCCAAATATACCTATAATATAGACAACTATATTTAATGTATGAGTGAATTTAAATCATTTTGTGTTTCCTTTATATGACCCCCTTACCTTGCATCTTACTTTTATAATGTGAAAAAAAATTCCTGATAATAATAATGTTATAGTAGTGCTACCTTCTTTCTATAATTTCTTCCCCTGCTTGAAATCTTTAATTTTAAGAACTCTATCACAAAAATGTACATGTGGATTGAAGCATTGAACATTATACTAGTAAGCGCAATTTCAGCAAGGACATTATTAGAAAATCTCAAAATTCAGATAGTTGTCCGTCCCAAAAAAAAGAAGATTGGACAACAGTTGGTAAATTCAAACTTGTGCTGCATTTGCCAAACTTTGTATCTCATGCAGGGATGAAAGAAATTTGCAAAATATGAAACTTTTGCTGAAAGAGAAGTATTTTTAGCCAAAATTTACTTGTCCATGAGTTTGCATTAAAAATGAGGATTAATGCACTCCATAGTATACTTATTTAAGATTTCCAGAAAACCAGAGGTTAGTTCTTAGTAGTAGTTGCCTTCCCAACGTTTGCTCATTACAAGACTTTAAACAATGGTTAAAAATTGGCATGTAGAAAGGTGATACTTGTACAATTCAGAATGTACCTGGTTTCTATGAAGTTAAATTTAAGGAAAAATATTTAGAAAGCTGTGAAAAATGACAAAAATGGTTGAATAGATAGGGATTTTGAATTGGTTGTCTGTCACCTTAAAACCTGCAGGAATTTAATGTAAAGATAAAAATAAGATGAGGTGTGATTGTCAATGAGACAACCCCTCACCAGAGACCAAATGACGTAGAAGTTAACAACTTTAGGTTACTGTACATATTATACTGAAGAAAAAATAAATCCACAATTTTACATATTTTTTTAGCACAGCAAATTGCTGTTATAGACAATTTTGAAAAAAAAATCATGTTTTTGTAAAATTTTGAAGAAGAATTTTAGTTACGGTTAATAATGTTCTTATATGTTATTTGATAAAATAATCTAAATTTACCAAAATCTGTTACTTAAAATTGCAGTTCTGTGCTATCTTTGTGAATTCATAATTTGTACATTTGTTTAGGAATAACCATAATGCTGTGAATTTTTCGTACAAATTGAAAACGTTATGAAAAAGGCCCTCATGTGAAACAATTTCAGTGGAAATTGGTCTTTCTTTATGCTGTGGCTTTATGTTTTTGTAAAGGGTTGTCTCGTATACCATACATTTCTTTTAATTTAGGGTGCCTCTATGAGCTATTGGTCTTACCCCCGTCTAAAGTAGTTCAACTACTATATCACTAGCCTGTCAATACTGAGGTTGTGAGTTTGAACCCCACACATGGCAGGTTCGACTCCAACAATCTTAATTGACTAGGATTGCCAGTTTTCCTGCTGAAGACGGAAAAAGCCAATAGTGCCGAAAGTGGTGTTAAACACAACAATCAATCAATCAATCTTTCAATTTACTAGTTACTTGATACAGATATAACTCAATAGAGGAAATCACTCAGGGAATATAATTTAATTTTTTAAATTTGTTGCTAATTACATATTTTTTATTTCATTTAAAAAAAGTAATTTCTTGTCCAATTGGAATAAAATTGTTACTTATATAAATTGAAATTTCCTTGCAGTCATTTTGATATATTTGTATGATGTAAAGTTTTGAGGAAAATAATTCGTTTAACAGTTAAAATTTAATCAAAATGACATGAAATAAGTCTTACAATCTTTTTTTATGATATAAATAGTGGTGAGACACTTTTGTCCTCTGACTTAAGCTATAATTGTAAAGCTTTTAATGATTCCATTTACTGTAGAAAAAATCAGCCTTTGGTACATTTATATGAATTCCAATGGAATATTTTTTTTTTATGATTTATTATTGTGCTTCCCTATTCTGTTTAACTGTCACAGATGATATCTACATGTACTTGCAGAGGAGAAATTTTATTTGTGATCATTGATCTATAAAACCATGTTGACTTTAAAGCCTGGTCTGACTGAGTGCATTATCTAAGAGCATTTGGTGCACCAGGGTTAATAATTAATGCTTGGGATTTTGTTATGGAAGTTTGTGGTTATTTTATATGGACACCTTTTATCTCCCCCTTGTCAGTTATGTTAATTGTTGCCACATGCAGTTAAAATGCAGATAGAAAATTTTTGAAAGCATGAAATTGTCGTAAAAGCAGTGATTGATGTTTTCAGTGTTTGAACTATTTTATTTCAGAAACAAGTAATTTTCTGAGTGTTTTCAGAGTAAGAATTACTTGCAAACTTATACACAGAATTTATGCTGCATGAAAATGCAACAAATGATGGATATTTTTAAAAAAAATGTCTGCTTCTGCAACGAATATCATATGCAACAGAAAAGAAGCGTGAAATATAAGTCTTGTCAAGTACTGGAAATCACATGCAAAAGAACCATGATATTTATGTCTGGTTAAAACTGTAGCTTTTTTAGTTTTGTACCACATGCAATGAAAGTTGAGAATGCAAGAATATTTCATGCAGAAGCATCAACAATTGTTAAATCTGTGGTTAGGTCACACAGGCCTGGTGAGAAACAGCTTTTTTTGGATAGTTTATGATGAACTAAATAGAATTTAAACTTTCAGCTGACTAATGCTGTATGACCATTTTTTCAGGAAACATAAGGCCCTTTCAAATGCAAACAACATACTTTTGTAATTTCTTGATGGACGAAAGAGCTTTCTCTGAAAAAAATGCTGCTCAAGTATTTTTACAATGTAAAATACTTTGAAAACTGTGAGTGACAATGAGTGAAGTATGAATGATAATGGTTGGAATTTAACCAAAATAGACACTCAATCTTGCAGTCCATGTTTTTATCATGAATATGAAGGGGCAGCATTTAAAAACACCAAAAGATGCAAACAGTATAATATTTGTGAGCTATTTTTCAGAAATAACCAAAAATATAAGATCTTATTTGTCAAAAACAAGTTTAAAAAAAGATGATCATATTGTGACAAATGTTTCTCCCTCATATTGATATTGGAGTTTCTTACAGAAACATTCACAGCAAAATTTATTACAAATGGGAATTTTTGATTACTCATGTTGATGTTTTGTTGCTTCCTTCTTATGGCGTGCACATTTTTCAGTTGATCAATATGCACATTTTTTCAGTGACATATCTTATTAAATGTAGGGGCATTTGTGTTGTCCCAACAACTCATTTTGTTTTATTAGATGTTATTAAATTGGTCAAAATTCTGATAAATTTTGTCACAGATAAAGCACATCAATGTTGTAGAAGCATGATTGAGCTTGTAGAAATTAGGTCCCCCAAGAAGAGGATATTTTTAAATAACAGGCTTTTTATAAAAGAAAAGTTAAAAGTTTAGAGTTTGTTCTTTCTGTCTTTCTGGCTTATTATACTCTTGAGAGGTATCATCATATTAAAAATACCTACTGTATGGTTACATGTTATTTTGAGATAATTGCTAACTTTCTGAACCATTTTTTTTGTGTGTTTTCTGTTGCTTCTGTTATTTCACTAACCTAGTTATAGAAAAAAGGGGGGATGGTAGAGTTTTCAAAAAATAGTTTTACCACACCAGCTGTTGAGTCACATTTCTAAAGCCAGAAACATCTTTGGTTGTCTTAGTTTTTGACTTTGTTGTTCTTTTGTCCATTAAGGAATTGGTGTAGATGGAAGATGATTGGCTGAGTGTCTTGTTTTATTCAAGTAGTGATTTAGAGCTGACATATGGTATAGACATTCATCTATGGTCACAGATTAGACATCTGTATGTCTTTTTAGACATAAGTGAAAAACAGTTCATTAATGGTATACCATGTTTATCTGTTTGTTCTTGTGTCTGTTTGTTTGCAGTCAATCTGTCAAAAACCTCAGTTTTTATTGCTTCTCAATTCTTGAAAATATTACAATTTATTTGATATTTATCACTTTCTGTTGTTTTTTGTTTTGTTTGAAGTGTGTGTATGGAGGTCAGAAGACTTGCTACATGTCCCTTCCTTATTATTTTTTTTCAATTTTGCCCCTTTAAACAATTTTACTGCTATAACTAATACCGTGTTCACACTATAAAAATAGAAATGTTAGCGCCAAAATTGTAACCCGCATCTGTCCGCTGTACATATTTACATTTTTGTCGAGCCTTCAACTTTTGTCGAAAAAGCGAGACATAG